CGAGCGCGTGATCAGTAACGAGAACCGCAGCGGCTACGAGACGCTGTGGTCATCGTCGTGAAAGAAATAGAAGACGATCGTGCAAAAGAGAGGAAGGAAAGATAAAAAGATCAGTGTCGATAGGGACGATTCAAGGATAACAAAAGCTGGTCGTTCTCGACCTCGAGACGGTCTTGCAGGCCGTCCCGAGAAATGAGCCGCACCGCAACGCAGAGTGCGGTTCGTACGATGAAGAGAAGCAACGTCCAGATCGAGAACGTAGCGAGTACGAAGGTAGAAGCATGCCACCGGTGCTAGGAGGCGCGGCAATGGCGGTCCTTCCGGTAAGCCCGCAGACGGCCACGCAGGGTAACCCGCACCACCATCACAATCATCACGTACATCAGGGACAAACGCAAGTTTTACTCGCGGCCGCTGGCGCAACGACGCAGGCACAGCCGCAGCTGCTCTATCAACCGTATAATTTGATGCCGGCGGGCAACTCTCCCTCCCCCCAAACGGCCTTTCAACACCATCCTCACCAGCAACAGCATCAACCGCAGCAGCAACAACAGCAACATCAGCTTCATCATCATCACCACCATCACCATCAACCTCCGAGCCAACAAAGCAACTTTCTGCCGGCAGATATTGCTAACGTCGCCACAACGCTTGCATTGTAAGTGACGTCTGATTCTTCGCGTCCCGTTTTCTAAAAAAAAAAAAAAAAAAAAAAAAAAAAGAAAGGAAAAAGAAAATCATATCGATCCACGTCGTGGAAAAAACGAACCTTGCTTCTGGAAAGGATATTCGACGATAATGACCGTGCAACAAACCGATAAAATGTCGTGTGCACGACGATACAGGTGCAATCGACGTTTGGGTTCACTGGCTCTTCGGTAGACCATGGAAATTCGATGAACCTGTTGGGAACGATCCCCCCTCCCTCGCTCTCCTTCCCTCTCTCTAACACGATTTTCAGTCTCTTTCAAACGCGCAGTCTCTCCGCCAAACTACTAACTAATAGGAAACTTTGTATTCGAAGAAAGTTTCGTGTAAATTACGGCTCGCTTTTATTTTACCTACAAGTTTTTTTTACAAAGACTTGAGAAGCATCTAACGTATCGTACGATGAATATAAATGTTCTCCGTCTGGCTGTTTATGGAAATACCGTTACGTGTTTGAAATCTACGGGTAATACCGTATAAATTTTAGATCGTTCGAGGTTTGCATATCGAAATTGGTGCGATCATTCTTGCGATCTGTGGTGAATATTTCCTTTCGAGAATCATTGAAATATCGATGAACGAGATGAGATGTGCTCGACTAGTTCGTGAAATCGGTTTTAATCGACGGTCGAGCCAGTCACGTTTCTTGGAACCGGGATTCACGTTTACAGCCATTCTGAAGTAAAATTAGATTCGGATATCGGAACACGAAAGAGTCACGCGAGACCTTTCGACCGAAGCGAGGGCATACATTTAATAAAGTTTTGACGGAAACGGTACTCGTTATTTTTCGAGGAAGCCATTTTAAACTTTCGTCTCGCGTTGACATCATTTTCTGTAAATATCAACACGATTTACGAAAATCCGTT